ATGGTCTTGAGCGACGATGCATTGTCTTGGAAGAACGCAAGACCACCAGCGGTAAAGTCGATCATGATAAGAATGACAAAGCCTGTGAGGATGAGCGAACGACGGCCGAAGAAGTCGAGAGCGAAGGGTCCTGCGGCGGCACCAGCAAGTTGGCAGACGGCTGAGACGACGGTGAGCACGAATGGGTCTCCGGCGCCGAGTTGAGTCAAGAAGAGCGTGGCGTAAGTGGTGGACATGATGATACCGGAGATCTGATTGAGAGAGAAGAGGGAACCGGCGACGATGGTACGCCATTTGTTGTTGCCCTTGAAGATGTCGAAGAAGGAAGTGTTGGCTGCAATGTCTCTGACATAGTCCTCTGCGTCGCACAGGATCTCGAATTCGGCTTGCACTTCAGCGTCACTGTAACTTCTGATCTTGCGCAAAGCAGCCTTACCCTCTTCCTTGCGGTCCTGTTGAATGAGCACGACGGGTGACTCGACGCAGAAGCAGGTGAGGAGCGACAATACGCCGGGCAAGCAAACTTGAACGGCGAGTGGTGCGCGGTAGGACATGTGCTCGCCACGGTAAGCGCGCTCACTAGCCCAGCAGATGATGACGGAGATGACTTGGGCGAGAATGGTGCAAAAGTTGTTGAGTGTCACTGCCCGACCACGGATGGACGGGACGACAAGCTCAGCTAAATAGCCAGGCGCGATACTGGTGGCGGCACCGTACGCGAGACCATTGTAGAAGCGACCACCGATGAAGCCAGCGAGGTTGGGCGCAAAGAGTTGAAGGAAGACGGCAGGGAGGGAGAAGATGTATGCACCGACCAGAGTCCACTTGCGGCCGAATCTCTTCTGCAGTGGCACTGCCAACAAAGCGCCAAAGACGGTGCCGACTAGAGGAATACTGAAGAGCATCGACTGATTGCGAGCGGTGAGGACGAGTTCACCAGTGGTGGGGTTGACACCTTGATACTCTTCAACGAAAGCGGTCATCGATGCAATGGGGCCAATGATGGAGTTTTCGACGCCGAACATCCAGCCTGAAAGAGCGACGACCTGCGGGGTGGAGGCGAGGTGAGTCGAAGTAGCTCGTCGTAAGGCATACACTCACGACTCTGTTGAACTTACCAAACACGAGTAGGCCATCATCCAATTCCATCCACTTGCGCGGCCAGCGGACCTGTAAGCGCTGCCGGTGGGCGAAACGGGTGTTGCTTCGTCACTCATGGTGAGCTGAGGCAGAGAATCTTTCTCGTGAAGAGATTGTGACTTGTTCGACATGATCAACGTGTGTGGCAAGGGCCGAGGATTGCGGGTTGCGCAGAAGTTGAGGGGAGTGAGAGCGATGGAGTCAGGGTACTCTTCGGCGGGAGGATTGCGATGAGGATGAGCCTGATTGACTCGCGAAGGAGCTCGATGTCTTGCTGAGGAGAAGGACATGGTGGAGCGATGCAAGAAAGATGCGCGCTTTAAATATGCGTTTTGACCTGCAAAACCAGTCCAGTGCGGGGTCCCCGCAACTCGTATGGCACGGATCCGCTAAGCAAAGCAGCCCCGCAAGCTCGTTTCAAGATCAGCTATGCACGTACTGCGACCACCTGGGCAGTGCTTTGGCGCTTGCTTTCGAAGCTGGAATGTCCAAACCAAGGACACCCAGTCAGACGACTTTGTCGCCAAGACGTGATGGTTGTCTGAGAGACAGTGTAAGAGATCGGCCGAAGATCGGTCAGCTCTCGGTGAATTCGAGCCAGGCGGCTTCGCTAGGGCAGGAACAAGGGACGCTATGCATGCGGTAAGGATGCAGTGAAGGCGAAGGAAGATCTTGCTTGGATGCATGCAGGGTTTCGCCTTTTCTGTTTTTTTTTGTGAATCGAAGAGGCAGGTGGCAGTGCGATGGGTGAAAGCGCGGACTATGTAGT